TACTACTACTACTACTATTACCACTCGTACTACGAGTGTTCGGGCGAATTGCTTCGTCGAGTCATATCGTCGTCGTGGCGAGAATCCTCGCCATTGCTGTCGGCACCAAGCCTTACAAGGGTTCAGCCAAGGAGCTTTGCCTGGTGCATCGCGACTTTCCCTGGTTGGTTTGATGCAACCCGATGGTTTAGACAAAGATCAGCCGGTCATTGCCCAAGGATGTCGCGCGTTGCAGACATTCTGTTTTTGTGACGCCAATGCATGAGGGACATGGATAGGACAATCACAGCACCAAGTTTTTTATTCGTAACACAATGGGGAGGTAGTGACTTAGCATCGTTTACAAACTTACGACGGGTTGCCAATTCGCGAAATCTGATGTTTACCAGGTTTGTTCCGCTGTAGTTTCAGGTGCAGATCGATTGTCAATACGACGCCATGCGAAAGCCGGAATTTGCCTCTTTGCTAGATCAAGTTTCAGCAGAAACATGTGACAGGATACGGTTAGTTCTGGTCAACTGCAGCTCCAGTAGGAAAAGACGTTTTCTCTGTGCTGTCTCAGGACCTTGAAACCGGGTGGAGTGCTCTAGTGAAGGAGGTGAACCAAGATTGCGCTGTCATGTGAAGCACTTTCTGTACCGAAGGGCAGATCTGCACACTTGTGCCTGAACTGTCGGTCTGGGAGAGTGCTTGTTTGTATCATGTTGAGCTTCTCGCCTACAGTTCCCTACTGCACGCCTGCAGAGTGCCTGGTACTTACTGTTTCACACCCTCGCACGCACGCGCAGACCGGAAGAAGAAGCGAGATGTTTTTGTTGCAGGGAATGTGGCATGCAGCAGTGCTTGATGGTGCCATCGCCATCGTCTTTTTCGTTGTTGGCATCAAAATGGGTGCTGGTGGCAATATATTCTCACTTACGGAAAACAGCTACCCCGAGTTTTATTGGCATAGCTTCCTCGTGCTACTGCACTGCAAATGCTTGCTAGTGTCCCGCCCTTGTGGCCATAGCTTCTCGCATCAGTTCGACTGAACTTTGACAAAGACTCACGACGCTTGGGCAGTCATGGTCATTATTTCGTGGTAGTCGCCCTTGATCCCTTAGGCATCAGTCTAACTAGCATTTCTACTCTTGCTGGTATTCCTCACTCTCGCCGTAGTACTCCTCCCGTTCTGAGCCTTCAACGCCGTGGGCCCGAGGCCTCGGTCATGGCCGGATCGAGCTGCTTCTGAAAAGGCTTAGTGGGGGCTCTTTGCAGGTTGGGGAATGGAGGTTTGCAACGCATTCCTGTGGGCGTCGCTTTGTCCAGGCCTTATTGGAAGTTGTAGAGTCAGGGCGCCAAGCTTGTTCGCAATGACGCGGAGCCGTGCGGATGCAAAAGCGCGCCGAACTACTTCGATGTTGCAGTGATGTTGCCACATTACTGTTACTAAGAGTTGCAAGCATCATGCATAACTTTAAGAACAGAATACCAGCCTGGAGGCATGCCAGAACAGGCAGCACAGCACAAAACGAGATGAGGATGGCGCTTGGTGCAAAAATTACATAGATGGATGGATGGATGGGACGGCCTACAGCGCGCTGTGGCCACTTCCCAGCCGCCTTCTCCGGGAACCTCCGTAGACGTCATCGGTTACCTTACACCAACAGTTTAACGTCCCTGCCTGGCCACTCCATGCAAGCAGCTGCGAACTCACCAATGCCCGCACAGAGGCCAAGCGCACAGGCTAGACGGCAGTGGGTCCTCAAACACCGGCACAAACACGGCGGCCAGTAGTGAAGCTATCGGCAAGGACCCGGGATGAGCGCACCATTTGCGAGGACTCGCCAGCATGATAACTCTTTGCCTGCCGGTGGGAACAGCCGGAAAATTACATACAGAAGCGAGTGCCAAGCAGATCAGTCAACAAGCAAAACGCCAGAAGTGTCGCCTAGTGGTCGGACATCGAAGGCGTGCTTTAGAGCCAGTACTCTAACGACCCGAACTCTTCGTTCTCTTTTCCGACCTGGCCTCGGCAGCCCTGAAATCCGAAAGCCTGGAAACCCAGACATCTCGGAGACTCCCAGACGCCCAGTCCAAACCGATGCCTCTCACAGTTGGCTCGAGCAATGCCCCCAAAGCCATCTTTCCTGGACATGCACCACTTCGAGGCCGTTTCAGAAAGATTCCTTGGGTTTGGTCGTGGTCAAGGGTGCAGTTTAGGGCACCCGCAACCTTCAGCATGACACCTGTCCACATTGCGCAGCACCACGCTTGCAAGCCGCGCGGCTCTCCGCTTGAAATTGCCATGTCCTGGTGGTTGCCGCGCACACCATTAGACGAAATACTCTGCAACAAATATTGTAGAGAACACAGTTTGTGTCGGAGTAAGAGTGTGTGTAATCGCTGCGACCTTCCTTTCTCGGAGGCCCCGTTGCTGATACAGGATTCGAACGATGCCGGGTGACCTCAAGCCGCATCCGCAACACCCCCGATCAAGAACATCTCTGGCCCACTACATCCGAACAGTCAGCTCGAAGCCCTTGATATTCTCAGCCTGCCCAAGTTCCCATATCCCACACGTTCCCCAGACTTGTGTTGCAATGCACGTGTCTATTGAAGGGAGCCTAATGCCCACCCGGATCTCCGACCCTATGTACAGCTTGAGCCCTGGCCACCGTCACAACGCTTCCATCTTTCGGAAGGCTCCGCCCCGGATAGCTGCTCAGCCCGGCGAGGACGTAGCCGATTGTATGCGGATCCTTTCGCTGAGAGAGGTTGTGCAGGCTAGACAGGTGCAACACACTTCTTCAGATTGCTACCAATCTGCAACTGTGGAATGGAGACCCACCAGCATCCTCAGCAGCACACTGTTGTGCAATGCACTGCGTAGTCAAATAAGTTATTGAAGGGCATGCAACTTGTCAAGGTGTGTCCTACTTGTACCGGGAGATGTATGGAGCACATGTTTACAAGCGAGCGAACTCCTTCACAATGAGGAGGGCCCGACTTTTGATACGTGACGGCAGTGACGCACTGACAGAGATCTCGGGTGTACGGCGACCCCAGAAGCGACAGAGATAGAACAGAGCAGCCAGAAGTAGGACATCTTTCGTACTTTGGTATTCTCTAGATTTACCTTCTCTAACATATTTGTCGACGGCTGCACGGCGCAAAAGCCGTCGAACCGCTAAAGATAAGTTGCAGCCGAGAACCGCTCCTATATCTTGCTTGGTTACACACCGGAGGGCGTGTCTAGCAGGAGCAGAGCAGCTTGCCGCCTGTCTTCCGAGGCAGTGAGGCGCCAGCCCATGAAAGGTTTTGGACAGGGTCGCTTGCGCTTACCGTCCTTTCTGACCGTTGGTGGTACAGGCTGCAGCCTTTTGACACAGATTTGCAACACACGGGCGAAGCTCCGAAACATCCCAGTTCCAATTGCCACTGCTTAGTCACTAGCCTTCCTGATTACTGGCGGTCGCAGGAGCTACTTTTTGACCGGTTGTCAGCGTGCCGCAAGCTGGTGAGACATTCACAGTAGTGCTTTCACCACAGATCCTGTATGACAAGGCCAGTGCTCGTTTACTCTAAATATCGTCGCCACACGTGGCTCACACTTCCTTGGGTTTTACCCGCACACGACGGTTTTAAGAGCTTCTTGCGAGGCTTTGGGATAGTGGCCTTCTCGGCTGGTTAATACACAATGATGTAATGAACGCCCCTTCTTGTAGATGGCACAGGTGGTCAGGCTTGCCTTTGGTTAGTTTATGGGGTGCTACTCGAAGGGAGTTCATATGCAACTTGTCCAAAAGACCAAGTGGGCTAGAAGCCCCGGTGCAGAAGAATGAGAGCAACCAACCAACGACGAACAGGAGGAGCTGCAGTTGGAAGAGGTTCGGCTCTCGGGGGCATGTCCGGTGGTGCGCCTTGCGTCTTAACGTACAGTAGGCCCAGTGTGCCACATGTAATGGGGGTGTAGGCGAGTAGAGATGCCAGCCACATGCTTGTTTGCAGACCCCTCAACAGAGCGCAATTGTGGATTAGTATTCAGTTGCGTCATGCAGCTTCTATCTTTGGCGCGAGTCGTCACAGCGAATTGCGAACATCCATGACAATGCACGCGATTCAGTCCTGCTAGTTTGCAGCGTCGGCGAAGACTCTCTTGTACTGAAAAGCCCAGATGTCAGACTGTTCAGGAGCCGCAGTTTTTCAAAGCCTGTGTACAGGTTCGCGTGAGCGTGGGTATTGTGAAGCGTTGAAGCTCGTCGTATTCTATTGCCAAAGCTGCACCGAACTTCGTGCGTCCAGCGCTAGCTTGAAGCTTCGTCTGTCCTCAAGGAGCGCATTGCAAGCCATGTGGAACCCAGTTGAGCCAGAGCAGACCCTTGGTTGAGGTGCAATCCTGCGGCAGCTCTGTTGCCAGATGGCCAGGTGCGGACGAGGCAAGTATGCAGCCAAAGAGGTGACAGAGGCACATGCCATCATGCAACGCTGTAGGTGTGCTCCCGTGACTCAGTATGAGCATGGGGGTTGGTGCGGTCCCTTCTTGTGAGCAGCTGTGGGAAAGATAGATTTTGTTTGAGGTCGATGCTCTGCGGTTTTCGGGAATTCTGGCTTGGGGGAACAGTCATGAAGGCATCAGAGCCGGCTGCAGAGCTCACACCGGTGGCCCAGGTGGGCATTTGATCAAATTACGAGCCCAATATTGCAGGCTTATTTTCAATAGGTCTGTAGCCAGGCCCAGCTGACCCTTTGTTAGTCCGTAATGTTCAACCCATTCGAGCATTACTTGTTCATTCTCCGTTGCTCTCCTTTGCCCGCTTGCCTCGTCCCGGTTCATTGCAGTTTCGAGGGCCTGAATCCGTCCGAATCAGTGCTAGCGTTGTTTACCGTATCATGCGAGTTTTGCATTTGGACACGTTGTCGCAATGTATGGTAGATAACATAATGTGAGTCCGTACCCACCCATGTCTGAATGTAGCGATGCCTCATACATGCCTAGGCGTGCATGCATGCTTCGCGCTATGCACACACACACGTATGCGCTATCTAGCTAGCTGCCTTCCTTCCTGCCTGCCTATCACAGGTGTACACACATTGACATACTCCCATTCGCAAATACACATATTGGTACGTACGTGTGTACCAACATGCATACTTGCATGGGGGGCTTGGATGATATGTGATGTGAGAGTGTGTTTCTCTTTTGGAGCTTGTCATTCATAGGGTCAGCCGGATGCGGCACCGAGTGAGGCAGAACCCCGACCGCAGGCAAAGGCTTTCCGATAATGAAGCAAGCCCTGCTGCCATGTCTGAAGTCCAAACTCTGCATCATGTGAAGGCAGGGCCACTTCTCAGGGTGCCCTTGACCGGTTCAGAGAAGGAGAGAGCTGTTGGAAGTCCTGTCGCGAAGCAGACGGTCGTTGCTCACAGTTGATGCTGGTGTCACCTGAAGTAGACATCAGCTCGCACATATAATGAATGCCGAAAATCCGAGTAGCACAGCAGGCGCGCCTTGTGGACGGTCCGTCGATGGGTGAGCATGTAGCTGGCTGACTATTTTGGCTAGCATGGCTGATTACAAGGTTATGTGTCCGTGCAGTTGTGATACATTGCACTGTGGCGAGCTTGTGGGTAGATTGCTTGACG